CTCTCTCTCTCTCTCTCTCTCTCTCTCTCATAACACCCCCAAATGCATGGGGAAGGCAAAAAGATGGTTTACCCCAACTCACTCATGAACCAACTTTTAATTTACCCCTACAACCACCCCCCTATCATCCTCCTTTCACCAATCTACTTAATTAGTTGACTTCCCTCATAATTTTCTTGTTTATAAATTCCTCACCCAAATCCTCTCATTTCTCTCACACACATTAGTTCCCTCTTTAATCCACCCAAACTTAGTCACCCATAGCAACCAACCATGCACATCTCTTATTATCAGAAATCTTTCACTACTTTAATGGAGAGCCCTACAAATTCACCATTCAGGAAGTTACCTCATAATCATCATAAGGTATCCAATGGTTTGGTGATGATGTCATTGAGGAACTACAATTTTGTGGCTTGCTGCCAAAGTAAAGGCAATCATATGAGTCCAAATGGTTTTCTTCAAATCGCGACAATGAGATCATCGGTGGTGACGGCAAAACACCAAAAGAAGATGGGGCTCGCGGATTTGGTGAGTTGTGATGAAGCAAAAGGAAGCACGAATGTGAAGGGCCTTGAAGCTGGAGTTGGAATTGCTAAGTTTCTAAGAGGGAAGAGTTTCTTTATAACCGGTGCAACAGGCTTCCTTGCCAAAGGTAATGATTACTATTTTTTTCATTAAAGTCAAGTTATTTTTATTCATTTCTGATGGGTGTGTGTGTGTGTGTGTGTATTTATTTATATTTATGATTCTCTTTCTAGTTCTCATTGAGAAGATTTTAAGGACGACACCAGATGTTCATAAAATTTATGTCCTTATTCAATCTAGCAACAAGGAAGGAACCTTTGATAGAGTGAAGAATGAAGTATGAATCATTTGTATCTTTAGATTCTATGACTATGAAATATGTGTTACGTTTTATATAATTTTCATTTTTTTTTTTTTTGCTTTTCTTTTCAGATTCTAAATACAGAGCTCTTCAGGTTATTGCAAGAATTTCATGGAAATGATTACCCAGACTTTATGATGAAGAAGCTGATACCTGTAATGGGAAATGTGAGAGAAGCTAATATGGGGATTGAGACTGCAGTGGCTGAGGAGATTTCAAAGGAAGTTGATGTTATAGTGAATTCTGCTGCAAACACAACTTTTGATGAGAGGTATTCGAGGAACATTAGGTCCATGAAACTTTTATTAGATGCATATTTTTCAGTATGGATTAATTTAGAAAACTAAAATATAGGTATGATGTTGCACTTGATATAAACACCATAGGACCTATTCGTCTCTTGAGCTTTGCAAAGAGATTCAAGAGACTTAAGCTCTTCTTACAAATATCAACAGGTCAGTCACTTAACTTATGCAATAGACATAGAAATAATTTTTCTTTTTTGTAGTTCTAAGGTCTCATTCTCCCCTTACCATCAGCTTATGTGAATGGAAAAAGACAAGGGAGGGTAATGGAAAAGCCTTTTCTCATTGGAGACAACATAGCAAAAGAGTTGGTCTCTCATGAAATTTCAGCAAAATCCATGCCATGGTTGGACATAGAAGCCGAGATTAGATTAGCTTTCAACTCCATGAAGGCTCCTGATGATGCATTTTTTATACAGGAGATGAAGGATCTTGGCCTGAAGAGGTGACCAAAGTTTGTTCTCATGCAGACTAATATTATTAAAAATTTTGCTTATGATGTATTTGATATGATCTTGTTTCTTGGACCTTGTTAATCTGTAATTTGAGGATGCTAACAACTCTAGAAATTTGGTGGAGATGGAATAGAGAAGAAAAACACAGATTAAAAAGGACAAACCAAAATTCGAGGCTGCAGGAAACTCTAGAAGTCAGCAGAAGGAAAAGAAGAAGAAAAAACAAAATAAAAGAAGTTTATTACCTTTTTTTTTCCAAACCTCAATGTGCTCGAAATGAACTATTTATAGAACACAAGACAACTAACCATTATTAACTAACTAATTAACTATGTTTATTAATACAATGCAAATGTATTCCTCTAATAGTTCATTCACTCAAATAACTAAAATTTATACATAGGGCAAATATTTATGGATGGCAAGATACATATGTCTTCACGAAGGCGATGGCAGAAATGGTGATAGAATGCTTGAGGGGTGATATACCAGTTGTGATAATTAGGCCTAGTGTTATTGAGAGCACATGGAAAGAACCTTTTCCTGGTTGGATGGAAGGAAATAGGTAATCTTTCTTTTAGTTTTTTAACATTCCAAACTCTATTGAACTTTTACTAATACGTTCAATGCACCTCAGAATGATGGATCCTGTTGTATTATACTATGGAAAAGGCCAGCTTACTGGTTTTTTGGCAGATCCAAAAGGAGTGCTTGATGTGGTAATTGCTTCCATATTTTTCAAGATGTACTATTTATTATGTATTTTTAAAAATATTTTGTTATCAAAATTACAAAAAAATTTCTAAGACTTAATATATTTTTCTATATCCAGCGATGTATGGGAAACGGCTATAAAATAACGAGTTTAAACTCTACAAACACTTTCAAGATTTTTGAAAAGTGATAATTCCATTTTGTGTACACAAAATGAGCAAAATAAAATCTATATTTTTTAAAAATATTTTACTTACAAAAAAACAGAAGAAACCCCTAATAATTCCAATTTATGGTGGAGGCTGAAATCAAATTAACATTTTTCATAGGTACCTGTTGATATGGTGGTGAATGCGACGTTAGGAGCGATGACAAAGCATGGGTGGACAAAGGAACCTGGAATTCACATATATCATGTTGCCTCTTCCATAGTGAACCCTCTAACCTTTCAAGAGTTGGCTAATCTCCTTCACCAACACTTCAAATCTTTTCCTAGCCTAGATTCGAAGGGGCGACCAATCGAAGTCCTTCAAATGAAGCTCTTTGATGATGTGAAAAAATTCTCTAGCTATGTTAATAGCAATTTAATGCAACAAATGTCCCTGCACGAGAAGGTGTCCAAGAAGTTCCAGAACATTTGTATGAAGATTGTAGATCAAGCCAAATACTTAGCTAACATATATGAACCATACACTTTCTATGGTGGAAGGTGAGGCTTATTCTTGGGTTTTTGTGAATTTGAAATTAAGAAGCACATCTAACGGTGAGTTTTCTCTAATGTTGGTTTCAGGTTTGATAACACAAACACACAAAATTTGATGGGTGAGATGTCTGAGGAAGAGAGGAAGAAGTTTGGTTTTGATGTAGGAGAAATTAATTGGGAGGACTATATTTCTAATGTTCATATTCCTGGACTGAGAAGATATGTTATGAAGGGAAGAGGAATGTGTGCTGATACTTTAAAATTTACGGCAGCTAAAGTGTAAAGAAACTGAATAAAGAAAACAATAAAATTAAAAATAAAAATGATGTTTGCTTTGGAAATTCAGTGTCTCTGATGCACTGAAGTTAGTAAGCATAATATTTTTGTTCAAAAATTGGTCATTTCCATGGGTGCATGGGGTCAACAAGGCAGTGCTTCAATTATGTGATCTTATTTTATTTAGATATTATTTTCAAACGTTATAAGTAATCATGTTTAGACTTGAAATTATTAGATGTTTTTTATTATTGCTCTTATTTGCATCATTTAAGTAATTATTAAATAATTTTAATGTCTATTATCATTAAGGAACAACCCCTTGCATCAGTACTTTCATTCTTTTGGTTCATTATCAAGTATGAGTTTCAAAATCAGGAAAGACTTTTGATATTTAGTGTCGTGCTTGAAGATAAAAAGAGTTTAAATTTGAATCTCTTCACAAATGAAAATAATGAAAATTTTCATAATCATCAAATTAACACCACCTTAAGAGTAATTAAGTTGAAGGCCTCCCAAGGTACATGCTTTGCTTTTCAGAAATTTTTGAATTTACTAAGGTCGCAAGCTTCCATACTCAAGCCCTCTTGGGAATGCCTCGAGCCATTCCAAGTGTTTAGTTCCCTTCTCTCTGATAGCTTTTAACATTTAATAACAGATGACAAAATAATAAATAATGGAAAATAGCAATATGTTCCAATAATTATTTGGTTATATCACCTCATTTATTATTATTGCTTATTTACTTCTATACAAGTAACATAATCACCTTCAAATAATCACCATCTTGAGAGCTTACTTATGGCTACTGAGATCATAGTGATTAACCTCAAGCTCTAAGAAGAGCCATCATAAGCTAAGATAATGCCAAATATGTAAATGCTTGTAAATATCGACTAATCTGAAGTGGTAATAAACATATCATATGTGAAGTATAAATACTAAGAAGAGTTAGTTGTTTTAGTCTATATAATGCCTAATTCTTTCAAACTTCACATGTAGTAAGTTTGAGCACTCTCAATTATTTTTTAAACTTATTGTAAACTTTACATTTTAGAATAATTTTATCTTATTTTACATCTTTGTATTACAATTTCTTTATTATTTGATTTATTTTTAATGATGAACTTTACATGTAATAATCTCCTCAACAAACCTTAAAGAATGTTGGTTAGTTAACTGAAGTGCTCTAAAATTCATCTATATTCTTTGTGTGGCTCTCTTCTGTCTTTGTAGCATCATATAATGACTCTTACAACTAGTAGACTCTGTCGCCCAGCCCAAACCCACCCCCACAAATCTCTAATTATCAAATGAACATACTCTCCTTTCAACATCCTTGATAAGGTAAGTTATGACCATCAACATTATTGCCATCAACTATTAAAACCATTAACTATTTGTTATTGTAAATGAATTTATGGTAGTGGATAAAAGCAACAATCACAATTATGATTCTCAAAGAGCATATGATCAATGGCAAAACTAGTATCAAAGCCTAGCCCTCTGTAAATTTTATCATTTATCATAATAGATGAACATAATGAATTCATTGAAGAAGAATATGCTTAAGCCAAGAGCATTAACTGAGCCGTACAAAAATAAGCTGCAATGTCAGGATACCACTCAAAATCCTTATTCTTCTATCTTCCTTTTAGTACAACTTTAAAGCAACTAATATTAAAATAAAATATAAATTATTCCTTGCAAACCTATGCCTCACCCTAAGAATAAAGATTAAGAGATAACAACTCTTCTCTAAACTAGTAGGCTAGCAGTGAACTAAGTTTTGAAAAGCTATGAAGTTCAAGATTCTACTTTATTTGTCTATCTAAATAAAACATAAGCTGACGCCTATATAATAAAAATATTGAGACCATGTATGCTTCTTATGAAGAATAAATAGCTAACTTGCTTGACATGCTTGGCAATATTTATGTTACTTCTTCTTGGAACTTGACATTCCTTCCTATAATGAAAAAAAAAAAATTAATATTGTTAGTTATCTCACTTTTTTTGGCACATTCCAAGTATACAACTATCTTTTAGAAGGCACTCTTACAAATATAAAACTGAAGCTCACTTTTTGAAGCACAAATCAAGTTGATACTTTATCATTATATGAGATCTCTTCAAAAAAATCATACTCCTAAAGTTTTAATTTTAAGGTCCTTAATGAGCCTAAATTATAATTTTTTTATAGCATCCCAAATAAATCAGAAAGAAATAAGGAAAACAATCCAAACATACAAACAAACAATAAAAATTAAGCACTCCAAAATATATAAATGAGGCCAGTGTGGTTGGGTCAGCGACATATCACAGGAAAAACAAAAAGGGCAGTCGAACTCTGCATATATATGTCTGATCCTAGATCTATACAAAAATATATAATTTAGACTTAAGGTGCGACACACGAGTTACCGCACCCGATTCATGTCATGTACTTTGAAGCGTCATTACCCTCGAAACCCAAGCTCGTACCTTATTTCTGATACAGGCTCAACCTGGGGACTTTATCAAATACATTTGAAAGAGAAAATAAAGGCTCCACCTGCATGAAAAGCAATGTTAGTGGGAAAACCAACAAACATGCAACGTATAATGAGCTATCTTTTCATCCGGGGAGCTAAATGATACATGTAAGCAAAAGATTAGTAGAAATTATTGTGTGCTCCCCCTTAATAGTACTCGTGTGTGTTCAAATATATGCACGGCTCCCTGTAGAAGAACACCCTGATATACATCATGCATATCTAGCATGAAAACACACCAAAAAGCGCAAAAAGTGACTCCTGGCTAGCACGAGCAAATCAACCAAAACCAATAGCCAGAGGTGTCGAAAGTACTACACAGCATCAAAATCCCAACCTAGCACACCGTCTAACGAGAAGTTTCTTAACCAACATCTTAATGCAGGATAAGTCTCCGAGAATGTATGACTTTGATGAGGTTGTCACACTGTCCTAAAGCTTCAAGGGATCTAAATTGTCACTCATGATGGATTTTGAAAGAATTGACCTTATATATGGTATAATTTGCTACATGTATAATTTTAAATTTATGGTAGAAATAATAAATAGCAAAATATATGATTTTTTTAAAATTTTAAAATAAGAACTATTAAATGCGAGTCCGTAAAATGCAAGGTGACATGAGTTATATCGATTAAATTTTTAACAAAGTTATAATTGTGTCAATCCTGATACTTAAACTCGCATTGCTCACCGAGGTCGACTTGTCAAACAATGCTTGTTTAGACATTGCGACCAATATGGGGTCACTCGCCTATCGAGCCTAGCTCACTAATCATGTGCGCATAAAAATGCAAATGGAAATAGTCATGAGATAGAAGTGATTAGGAGTTTGTCGTAGAGGCAGCGACTCAGGAGCGGGCGTGTCGTGGAGGTAGCGACTCACAAAAACGAGTGTGATGTGGAGGCAGTGGCCCGAAAGGGTGGGTGTGCTATGAAGGCATCGACCCAATGGAATGGGTATGTCGTGGAGGCAGTGACCCGAAATGGTGAGCGTGTCGTGAAGGCAACGGCCGGAGGAATGGGCTTGTCATAGAGATTGTGACCCGAAAGAGTGGGTGTGTTGTGAAGGTACCAGCCCAAAGGATGGGTCTCTTGTGGAGGTACTGACTGTAAGGGGTGGGCATGTTGTGCAGGCAGCGATCCAAAGGAAGAGTGTGTCGTGGAGGCACTGATCTGGAGGGTTGGGTATGTCATGGAGGCAGCAGCCGGAAGAATTAGGTGTGTCATAGAGGCATTGACCAAATGGGGTGGGCGTTTCGTTGAGACAGTTTCTTGAAGAAAGAGCGTGTCGTAGAGTCAGCAGGTCAAAGGGTGGATTTGTTGTGGAAGCAGTGCTTGGAAGAGTAGGTGTGTCATGGAGACAGTGGCCCAAAGATGGGTGTACCACGGAGGCAGTGACTGGAAGGAGTGGGCACGCTATGGAGGTAATGACCCAAAGGATAGATGTATCATGGAGGCAACAGTCTGAGGAATGGGTATGTAGTGGAGGCATAGACCCGAGTAGCTAAGTGTGACGTGCAGACAGCGAGCCGAGGAATCAGTGTGTCATGGAGGCAGTAACCCGAAAGAGTGAGCGTGATGTAAAGGTTGTGGCTTAAGGATAGGGTGTGTCATGGTGGCAGCAGCTCAAAGGATGGGTGTGTCGTGGAGGCATCGACCTTAAGGGCTGAGCGTGTCGTGGAAGCAGCTGCCCAAAAGATGGGTGTGTCATGGAGGCAGTAATTCGAAAGGGTGAGCGTGGCATGAAGGCAGCGGCTCGAGGAAAGGGTTTGCCTTGGAGGTAATGACCCAAAAGAGTGGACAGGTTGTGGAGGCAGTGGTCTACAAGACTGGGCGTGCCTTGGAGGCAGCGGTCTACAAGAGTCGGTGTGCCATAGAGGTTGCGATTCGAAAGAGTAGACATGTCTTAGAGGCAGCGACATAAAGGGGTGAGTGTGTTGTGCAGGCAGCGACCAAAATGGGATGATTCTCATTATAGAGAATCATATAAGTGGGGTGAGTGTATGAATGGACACTCAAAGTGCAACTCAAGCAAGTGTGTGAATGGGATGATTCTCACAGAAGAATCGATCCAAGGGATGATCCAACTCCATTGTACATCCAACCATCCCAGGGACATCCAGAGGCTCATCCTCAAGATGCAAGAATTGACAGTCATGCCATATCAAATGGTCGACCCGTATTGACCAAGCTCAACTGACCGAGCTAATTTTTTGGACCCAAAGCGACTAATTTCAGACGATTAAGTCAAAAAGTGGCCAGACAAAAGGCTCATGTTTGTAAAATACTAAAAATGCCATAGTATAGACCACTTTAAAGCATGGACAAAGATGTAGTATCATCATCATATGATTCTTTTATTCTATAAATAGGGAAATTATTTTATGAATAAAAGGATGAATCACAATTGATCGTAACGGATTATTGTTACATGTTATTCACTCCTCTCTCTCTTTCTTTCTCTCTTTCTCTTTCCTTACTTATATTCTACTTTTTTGTGTGTGATTCACGGATATATCAGGATTCAGTAAGTATATAGTCTCATATAAAAATAATAATAATAAGCAAAGCCTCCACTTGCTCGTTCAGGTTTATGTAATCTCATACAAGAACTCTTTGGACCATTGTGCACTACTCAAGTTGGCTTGGATAAGGGAAAAAAAGTCCAAATTTTATGAAATATTTTAACAATGCTTAGTTAGCGATCAAATGACACGCGGGTTACTTCCATCTTATATAAAATATCTTTATTATACAAGTTTTATTTTTATTTCAAGCATCCACATTGAGGTGTTATCACTTGCGTGCCCCCATGGAGTTGATAATGCTCTATTTTTAATGAAATACAGATACAAGAGGGGAAGAATCCGTCTGCGTCAGGAATGATGATGACATGAACAAGAACCAACTTTGTGTAGAGATGCCAAATGGCACAACCAAATAGCAAATGCTGTTTGATTAACTCTTGTGCAGGTCCAGTTGCTTCTTTTATATTTTGTGGGGAAGAAATTTATCAAGCAGAATAGGAAGTACATGAAAGAAGAAAGAGGATTGATATAGTAAAGAAATAAACAAGAACATGACACAAGAAGAACTCTGAAAGAATTGAGATAATAAGCTGCAAAGGAAGAAATTTATCAAGCAGAATAAGAAGTACATGAAAGAAGAAAGAGGACTGATATAGTAAAGAAACAAACAAGAACATGACACAGGAAGAACTCTGAAAGAATTGAGATAATAAGCTGCAAGATCTAATTAACAAAAAATTAACAAATAAGCAATTGAATAAAATTAAATTAGTATATGATTAATTTACGTAAATTAAATAAGATAATACAAAAGTTGTGAGTTTTCTTATAATTAAATAACATAAATAAATACTAATAGACTATTTTATTGATAACAAATAGGAAGAAATTGTGTTGAATTATTATGAATATTATTGTTAAACTATAATATTTGCGAATATTAAATATATAACTAAACAAATTTAAATAAGTGTAGACTTTTCATATAAGATCACCAATCGTCTATTTTATAAATCAAATAAATAAGCAATTCAATTTTAAATTAGTATCTACCAAGTTTACATCCACTAATAAAATAATATACAAGTCACTGGCTAACTTTCTTACAATCGAATAACATAAATAATTATTAATAATTTATTTTATTAAAAAAATTAATATTAATCCTACAAAATATATAATTAAATAATTTCTAATTGATTAAATTTTATTTAAATAATATGTCATTTATAAATGAACTATTATGGAGCTTATTATAAAAAACTTATTAAAAAAGCTTCTTCATGGATATAGACAAACAATTGGACCTATGTTTATGTTTGATTCATTAACATTCTAGTTCTAAAGAAAAAATATTAAAAGTAATCCATTTATTAATTTGAATAAATTTGATCGAATATCAATCAAGTTGAGTTCGCTTTGTTCATCGAGTCCATTCGCTGATGCTTGTTCAAATTTAAACTTACTTATTAAGAACCCAATCAAATTTGGTTGAAACTCAATTCAAGCTTTTAGAAATATGTTCAAACTTGAGCTCATGTATTCAAGCTCCGCTCAAACTCAATTCATATAAAATTATTTAATTTATTAAGAGATAATTTGTCTTCCAAAATAAACAAACTTTACATGAGTTTTATTCCGACTATTTATTTTGAAGAATAAACAAGATATATGAAATAGTCTGAAAAATAAATATTCAACCAAAACCATGCGTGAATTTTAAACAAATCATAGTTAAAATTTTTAATGAGTTTGTTCACAAAAGTTAACTGATTTTGTTCAGAAATATAAATAAAAAATACTATTCAATTTTGTTAACTTATCAACCAAATATTTACAAAAAATATTCAAGTTACTGAGCTTGCAGAGAGCTTTAACGTGCAAAATTGTAATGAGCTTGCTTTAACAGCTCCAACCAGTAATTTAACTCGAGTAAACAAACTTGTAGAATAAGAAGCTATAGATTTTACCTTTGCTTGGTCTTCAACTGGTGTATCTGAGATTGTTGAGCGCAAGCCCAGCGTTAGTTCTGAATCTGCAATAACGACATCACAGAAAGTCTAATTGGTAAATTCTGAACTCTAGTCATCAATAGCCCATTAATTGTCATCCAGAACTACTAAGCTCAAAAATACAAGTCAAAATATAAGATGACCAAAGTGAATCTAAGCAATTCCATGTTAACACCCAGTAAACTTTAAAAATCCAAAAAGGAAAATCACGCATGGAAGAAGACCACCACCACAAAGGTTTGAAATATATGGCAACATGAAAGCATATCTAGCACAAGTACAACAAAACAAATCAACAAGACTGGAGCCACACCCAAACTCAATGAATCCCCACTAACTCAATAGTCCTCCGGTTCTTCCCCATCATCATCAGCACCCTCAGCACCGACTTCCTCGTAATCTTTCTCGAGGGCAGCAAGATCCTCCCTAGCCTCCGAAAACTCGCCTTCCTCCATTCCTTCTCCAACATACCAATGCACAAAAGCACGCTTTGCATACATGAGATCAAATTTATGGTCAATGCGGGAGAACACCTCAGCCACCGCAGTGTTGTTGCTGATCATGCAAACCGCACGTTGCACCTTGGCAAGGTCTCCTCCAGGAACAACTGTAGGAGGCTGATAGTTGATTCCACACTTGAAACCAGTTGGGCACCTGCAAAATATACACACATCACAAAACCTCCCTCATTTCAATAAATTTTGCCAAACCGGAAGGTTATGAATCTCACCAATCAACAAATTGAACTGTTCTCTTTGTTTTAATTGTGGAGACGGCAGCATTAACGTCCTTGGGGACAACATCTCCACGGTACATTAGGCAGCAAGCCATGTACTTCCCGTGCCTTGGGTCGCACTTTGCCATCATGTTCGAGGGTTCGAACACGGCATTAGTTATCTCAGGAACAGAGTGTTGTTCGTGGTATGCTTTTTCAGCAGAGATGACCGGAGCATATGAAGAAAGCATGAAATGGATTCGGGGGTAAGGTACGAGGTTGGTCTGGAACTCGGTGATATCAACATTGATGGCTCCATCAAACCTAAGAGATGTGGTCAGGGATGAAATGATCTGAGAGATTAAACGGTTTAGGTTCGTGTAAGTCGGCCTCTCTATATCAAGAGAACGCCTGCAGATATCATAAATGGCCTCGTTGTCCAAAAGAACAGCAACATCGGTGTGCTCCAACAAGGAGTGAGTGGACAAGACGCTGTTGTATGGCTCAACAACTGCTGTGGAAACCTGAATTAAACAAAAAACTGGAATCAATATATATGGAGACTAATTCAAAATAGAACAAGGCGTTCCCCCCACATGAATGAGAGCATAAACAGCTAGCATCAATGCCTATTAAACAAGACCAACAATCTTCAACTTGAATACAGACGCAAACACAATAATAGAGAGGCCCACAACAGCTGCCATGCACGTGGGCTGGCCATACGTAAGTCAGAAGAGCGCCATACACCTTTAGAGTCATTATTAATTGCTTTCGAGGCATGTGCAAAAAAAGAAATCAGAGAGACAAATGAAACAAATGTGGTGGTAGTAAAACACAAGCATTGCAGGAAAACTTCTGATTTACATGAGTTACAGTGGAAACGGGAAAGTAACAATTGAAGTAAAGATTTTTAATATATACATTAAGTCATAGTTTAAGTAATAATTATATGTACTTAGACCTGCTAAACACTAGGGGGCTGTTTGGCTGCAAGTAAGATCTAGTGTTAAAAGGATTTGATAAATCAGTAGATCCACCTAATTTCTAGATTTAGTAAAACTGGATTTAAGCCAAACCGCATGCAAAATTGGGGCTTCTAAAATTAAAAATTAATAAATCCATTAAACTCATGCATTTTACAATTTGATAAATCAGTAGATCCACCTAATTTCTGGATTCAGTAAAACTGGGTTTAAGCCAAATTACAGGCAAATTTGGGGCTTCTAAATCCAAAAAATCATAAATCTATCAAACTCTTGCATTTTTACCATTTGACTGGATTTAGTAAATCCAATGCTAAATTCTATCAAAAGAAGCTATTAAACAGCTCCTAAAACTGTTGAAAATGTTCAAAAAAATTAAGAAAAATTATCTTTTGTAAACCGACAATCAAAGTCATCAGAGAAAACCCCACTACCCAAATTATTCTAACAAATAGCTGGCATAACAAAGACGAGAAGAATCTTTCAGAATATACATAAAACGAAATTCTTATGTATTTACATATCTAACATCTAAACTTTCATATTTACATGCATATCACTCAAATCATTAATATCACATCCAAATAGCATCATCACTAAATTTTAAAAAGTGGAATACACCTTTTCATGCATAGGATTATGACACCAAGGTGGTATGAGTGTAAACACTAAACTCATGCATATGTTATGAGTGTAAACACTAAACTCCAGGTGTTAGATAAGTAAATACATAAGAATTCTGTAGTATGTATACAAATTTCCCAATTCACAACATAAGGGAATATATAAAAAAAAAACATTTGGTTTATGATTAATCTAGCAGAAAGAAAAAGCAGAAGAGAAATAAAAAATAATTTTTATACCTGTGGGGAAGGATAGATGGTAAAGCCAAGTTTTGATTTCTTTCCATAGTCCACAGACAACCTCTCCAACAACAAAGAGCCTAATCCAGATCCAGTGCCACCACCGACAGCATTGAAAACTAAGAAACCCTGCAAACCAGTGCAATTGTCTGCTAATTTTCTAACCCGGTCAAGGCACAAGTCCACAATCTCCTTTCCCACTGCATTTCATATATGAAAATAAATTTGAGTCCCAATCCACAAACCACAAGGAACCCGTTTACATTTCTAAAAGAAACAAAAAGAAGCAATTTTTAAAACCTGTGTAATGTCCTCGAGCAAAATTGTTTGCAGCATCTTCCTTTCCAGAAATCAATTGTTCTGGATGAAAGAGTTGTCTGTAAGCACCAGTCCTCACCTCATCGATCACGGTTGGTTCCAGATCTACAAACACTGCTCTTGGAACATGCTTACCAGCACCTGTCTCGCTGAAGAAGGTGTTGAAAGCATCATGAGCAACACCCACTGTCGTATCACTGTCCAATGTTAACAATAAAGTGAGAACGAGACAATCAGATCAAGTAGCAATGTCTAATAAAATTCCAAATAAACATAAATCATCACAGAATGCAGGACTAAAGTTTTAGACACGGCTCAAACACATGCATCGGAGTGAAACAACTCAAAAAAAAAAAAAACTTCACTCCTCCTGCTAATAGGGATACGTTTTAAAAATCCTAACATGCTACACTAGGACAACGTATTATAAGTTCAACAAGACTACCCTTAAAGCAATTGCAAACTTACTAATCAAAAATAAAAATAAGCTACAAAAGAATGAAACAGTGAAAGAAAAAAGAACATCAGACAAGTTTCTCAAGTAGAACGAGTAGTAAAGAACAACCAGATTTTAGAAGAAAGAAGCAGATCTCAAGGAATAAGAGCCTCAAAGTGGAACAGGCTAAACCATTCCAGCAAATAAGCAGAAACACGCATCTAGTGAAGAAAAAAAGTTTACGCTATAAATTTTGCCATTTTTTTCCAAAAGAATGGAAATAAATAACAAAATATTTCAGGCATAGACCACCATCCAAACAGACTTGCGTACGCTCAAATCAGAGAAATCAAGACAACAAAAAAGGAAAAAAAAACAAAACCCTACAGATCCACAAGAATACTTGAGTTACAACCTCGACAGTTCACTCGAACTAAAGAAACAACAAAGATGCCATTTTGTGGGCAGTAAACCGATCCAATACATCTTATATTAACAGATCCATGTCAGAGAATCAATCCACGCAACGAACAACGTTCAATGGCCGTGACACCCAACAATCAGATTCAAAAACGACGAACCATTCTAAGATCTAATCCTAAATCCTTCCACCCAAAAAAAGAAACCAAAAAAAAAAAGGAAAGAATAGCAAGCAAACCTTGGCATCATGCCATCGGGTTGGATCCCGTGCTCTAGGCAGTACAACTCCCAACAAGAGTTACCAACCTGGATCCCCGCCTGCCCAATGTGGATGCTGATGATCTCCCTCATCTCTACCCCCTTCTAAAACCCTACCCCTCTTTCTTCCCACCCCTCACTCCCGCTTTTTCTCTCTCCGCACGGCGGCGAAAGAGAACCGATGCCCGCAAATGGAACGCCGCGAAGAGGGGAGAGATTTTGAGAAGATGAGGAAAGCCCAACCCTAATTTCTTCTCACTTTAAAGAAGAGCGGAGAAAATGGGGGGAAAAGTTAAAATAAATTATAAAATAGTAAAAAAATCGTTCGGAAAAGTATTAAAAATAGAGTAGTTAATCTGTAGAGATCGACAAGTGGACCCACCGGTCACATTCGACCAACTCGGCCGCCCGCGCCCGGTTCGGCGGTTCTCTTTCAAATTCCAAATGGCAATAAACAGTAATTTGCTTCCATGTCCCATTCAATTTAATTATTTACATTTAATGTCCAAATAAATAAATAATACATGTCAGTTCATCACATAATTGTCGGTGAGTCGTATTTCCAAATGGAGTTAAGATTAGGGCTCTAAATGAATCAATGCAATAATTCGAAGTTGGCTCGATTAATATTTAAATATATTTATTCAAATTAATAAAAAAATAAGTTTAAATATATTTTAGAAACTTGAAATTTAAACAATTAAATTTGATTATATTCCAACTCATCCGTCAGTGTACACCAATAAATTGATTAGTTGTTAAATCTTTCATGCTTGTATGATATTTAAATAAAATATAATTAATAAGTATGTATTTAATAATATATTTGATGAGTTAGAAAATTCGCGTCAGTTGAGGAATAGATTATCGTCTTAGCGTTGCACGAGAATTTAACGCACACTTGGGTAAATAAAAACACCCATTAAAGACGTCAGAATTTTTTACATGAAATATCCATAAAGGAAAAAAACCACTGGGTTTGACCCATATAAAAATTTATTATAGATTGAAGATTACAGAGACCCCTTGTCCCACGGACTAGAAAAGGGTTACTAGGTTTTCCAAGCTCCTACGTCAACTAGCGGCTTTCGGTCGGAGGTGGTTGACGGTGATTGGAGGTGATTAACGGTGCTCAGGGGTCGATGACGGAAAGATGGTGGTTGATGGCGACAGTAGTGCGCGACGGTGGTCGGGGTTTGTTGACAATGGTCGATAGGGGCTAATCGGCGGCGGCCCGCCGGATAGACGTTAACAAAGCTAGAGGCTTGAGAGAGAACTTAAAACCTTGAGAATGAGTTAAACTTCAGCATCAACCGCCGACCACGGTCTCCTTCTCAAAGCTTTAATAATATATTTAATGGTAATATATTATAAGTATATCACAAAAATTTAATGCAAATTTATTATTATTTTATTTTAATAAATAATTTTGGCATTACTTATTTATATTATTTGATGGAAAAAAATTTTACAACTTATATATCATATTGTTTGTTTGACACGAAACAAGTTAGATGCTATTTCGAAATCTATTTAATCAATTATTTATTTAGATTTGTAAGTTCATTTGTTAATAGCTATGTACTACACATTTAAATTTTTTATTTGTTTATTAGTTTTTTATAAAAAAAAATTATACAAATTAAATATTAATTTTATAAGAAAATTAAATACTCATTTGAATTTTAGCTTTTTAATTAATATAAACAAATCAAACACAAATCAAATATGAATATTGAAAATACTAAATAAGCTAAGTATAAACATACTTTTGAAGCTCGACTCAAAAACTCGAATTGAACATGAACAACTTATAATCAGAGTTTGACTGTGAGATATACGAACACACAAGTTAGGTTCCATTTGTTTTTTCATGTATCAATTTCATAAATCTAAAACAATTTAATTATCAATTATGCAAAGTTTCAAACTGAGCTTTTTTAAATTATTATTTAAGCATTTTCTGCCTTCTTATGATGTCTAGATGAAAATAATTTAATATGATTAAGAAAGAAAAAAGGATTGATTTTCATGGCAATGCTTAAGGTGATTTGAGCCTAACAGCTTTTAACATTAATTAAGCATAAAGTTTAGGGAAATTTATGTATGCAGCACACAATTCTTATGTATTTATATATCTCACACCTGAATTTTCATATTTACATGCTAACACTTTTGTGGTTTAAACTTATGCATTAAAAATTAGGTTTTTTTTAAAGTAAAATTTTGCATATGATTTTCAAATTTTCAATGTTTATCATAAAATATGTAAATATTTTTTGTTTATAATAAAAGGGTTCACATTTTGAAGATTACAATTAAAATTTTAACTTTTATTGTTAATAGTTTATTGAATTTTTAACGATTTAATTGTATATCATGCTTTTACATTAGTTTTATAGTTCATTAGAAATATTTGATTTTTAATAACATTATGCTTCGACACTATGTCCCAACAAAAATAATTAGGCTCCCAACAAAAATACTTAGGGGAATTTACATAAATACCGCCCAATTCATATGTATTTATATATCTAATACATAAGCTTTGATTCTGAGCAGTCAAACTACCGAACAGGTAAACTACCTATTTGCCAAACTGGCGAACTGGCTAATTGTTGAACTGGAAAACTCCATATTTGTCGAACTGACAAACTGACGACCCTGTGAATAGCCAAATTGTTGAACTGTCGGGCTGTTAAATTGTCGAATTGAATTGCCGAGGTGTTGAACTGTAATTGCTACTTAATTGCAGAATAGTCCAATTTTTGAAATGTTCGGCTGTCAAATTGTTGGACTAACTAAAAGTCGAATTGTTCAGTTGTTAAATTGGCGTACAACTGTTAAATTGCTAAATTGTCAAATTGTTCGGTTGTATACTTGTCAAATCAGCCAAATGTTGAATTGTCAAACCACTCAACTATTGAATTGTCTAGTTGTTGAACTGTCAACTATAGGATATGACATAAAGCTACATACATGACATAACGTTGCAAGATGTTACATAAAGATGTAAGATGTGACATAAAGTTGTAGAATGTGACATAAAATTATATGATGTGATATAAAATTGTACCAAGTGATATATAGTTATAGGATGTGATATAATATTATATATCTTTTTATATATTTATTAGTACCATGAAAAAAGAAGACTCAAGACTTATAAATAAAGGTCAATGGCGAAAATAAAAGGCAGAGACTGAGCTCTCTCTTTCCAGTGGTTCCTTCTTCTCTCTTTTTATTTCTCCATCTCCTACTAAATGCTAGAAGGATTTGAACGTATCACAAAGACATTAAGGGACTCCATGTTCTAAAAGGATTCAATATCTTGAAAATTTCAATGAGCATGAAGTTCATACTCAAACTTTATAAAAAGAAGTTTCCCACATAAAGAATGATGAAGAAGAATGATAGATTACACCATAAGATTCATAATGTAGCAAAACAATGAGTTGAGAGAATAGGTCATGAAGGTCATACGAGACACAAGAGAGGCCTCTGTATCTCATTCTCAAGCTAGACTCATCTCTTTCTTCCACTTTTTTCTAAAAAAAAGGTGTTTGCCAAGGTATATGTACTCATGAACAATTCGAGCCCTTATATTTTAAAAGGATTCAATAATACCACATAAAAAATGCCACCATTTTAACTTTTAAAAAGTGAAATACAACTCTTCATGCATAGGTACGGTGTTATGTATGCTAAAATTAAACTTCAAGTGTTAGATATGCGAATGGAAAAACATTGAGTGGTCTGCTTGTTGATCTGCATGATAATTATTATCCATAAAAATAAACTATGACCCTTGTGGTCAATGAATGCTATTGTAGTTATCGAATACGGTATTTATGACTGACTACAAGCTTTGTAGCCAACACTACGGTCTTTGTGGCCGACTACCTCCGAGTATAGTCATTGTGGCCAATGAATATTACTACAGACATCACCTAAGATTTTGTAGCCAATCATTGTCATATAGTCAAGAGCTATATTTGTCGTAGCCCAATTATAATTATTATAACTAAAAAATAGTTAAGCATATGTGATTATCAACTTTATAAATTCCTATTTTCTATTTGAGGAGAAGAGTAAACATATATATTTACAATTACATAATGAATTTTTTGCGGTCTTTTTCGTCCCAACAAAAATAATTAGGGGAATTTACATAAATACCGCCCAATTCATTTGTATTTATATATCTAATACGTAAGTTTTGATTCCAAACAGAAACTATCGAACAGGTGAACTACCTATTTGCCAAACTGGCGAATTGGCTAATTGTTGAACTGGAAAACTCCCAATTTGTTGAACTGACAAACTGACGACCCTGTGAATAGCCAAAATTTTGAATTGTCGAGCTGTTAAATTGTCGAACTGAATTGCTGAGATGTTGAACAACAATGCTCCTTAATTGCAGAATAGTCCAATTGTTGAAATGTCCAGCTGTCAAATTGTTGGATTAACTAAACGTTGAATTGCTCAGTTGTTGAATTGGCGTATAGCTGTTGAATTGCTAAATTGTCAAATTATTCAGTTGTATGATTGTCAAATCAACCAAAAATCTTGAATTGTCAAACCACTCAACTATTGAATTGTCTAGTTGTTGAACTGTCAACTATAGGATATGACATAAAGCTACATACATGACATAACGTTGCAAGATGTTACATAAAGATGTAAGATGTGACATAAAGTTGTAGAATGTGACATAAAATTATATGATGTGATATAAAATTGTACCAAGTGATATATAGTTATAGGATGTGATATAATATTATATATCTTTTTATATATTTATTAGTACCATGAAAAAAGAAGACTCAAGACTTATAAATAGGGGTCAATGGTGAAAATAAAAGGTAGAGACTGAGCTCTCTCTTCCAAGTGGTTCCTTCTTCTCTTTTTTTATTTCTTCATCTCCTACTAAATGCTAATAGGATTTTAACGTATCCCAAAGACATTAAGGGACTCCATGTCCTAAAAGGACTCAACATCTTGAAAGTTTCAATGAGCATGAAGTTCATACTCAAACTTTATAAAAAGAACTTTCCCACATAAAGAATGACGAAGAAGATTGATAGATTACACCATAAGGTTCATAATGTAGCAAAACAATGAGTTGAGAGAATAGGTCATGAAGGTCATACGAGACACAAGAGAGGCCTCTGTATCTCATTCTCGAGCTAGATTCGTCTCTTTCTTCCAAATTTTTTCTAAAAAAAAGATGTTTGTCAAGGTTTATGTACTCATGAACA